CCACTAATACTCAAGTCCCTATCGAATATCATCTCACCAGCCGTGACAAACCTATTCAATAAATCACTCTCTGAAGGATCTGTCCCCAAACACTAAAAATGCTTGATAGTGAGACCGCTTCCCAAGTGTGGTGATCCGAGTAAAGTAGAGAACTATAGACCGATCTGTTCGACTTCGATATTATCCAAAGTTCTCGAGAAGGTTGTGAAATAGTATCTGTTCTCGTTCTTCGAATCGACGGACGTATTGACGTCAGCGCAACACAGCTTTACGAAAGGGCGATCCTACATCACCACATGTACGCAAACCACCAGTGGGTACGAGCTCTCAACAAACGGAAGGTGTACATCGATTTAGTAAGGCGTTTGACAGAGTGCACCACGAGGTAATCTTTCGTAAACTGAAGATCTACGGAATCGGTGGCACGCTACTTCAGTGGTTACACGAGTTTACTGTGGGTCGAAAGTTTAGAGTACAGGTCAATGACTACCTGACAGACTGGTTCCTATCGATCGGTGGCGTGCCTCAAGGAACTGTACTTTGGCCAGTATTATTACTCATATCAACGATCTCCCGTAGCAGCTCTAGTCACCATGTGCACTGTTTGCGGACGATTTGAAAATCATTGAGAGCCAGGACGACTGCGCTCGCCTCCAGCATAACAGAGCGACTGTCAACGTGGTCCACTGAAATGCAACTCCCTCTTAACGCAAGCAAGTCGGAGTTCATCAGTATCAGCAGACTTCCAGCCACTCGATCTTACACCTTGGACGGTCAGAGACTTAGGAGTGCTTTTGAAACCTGATATGCAATCACTAGAAAATACAGAAAAATTTTTAGTGTGCAGGACTTCTTATCCTATGGGCATAACGACGCAGTTTCTCCCCATGGTCCTAAGAAACCGTCCCTCGCCTATTCACTTCGCTCATCAAACCGATGCGGCGCCCCAGCTTACCATCCGATAACCCAGTGGGAAACTGAAAAGCTGGAAAAAATACAGCGCATCGCAACTAGAATGAGTCCGTCTATGAAAGCTTCCGTATGAAAAACGTGAAATGTTCGGACCCTACAAACTATCCTACCGCCGAGTAAGCATTGACCTTTTTGTGACCCATCGAATACTACACTTGAATCACTTCCCAATACTGCGGCCAATATTTCACCTGCGGGAACCCCGTAACACCCGAGCACACCGTTACAAACTCGGGGTCCCCTGCGTGAACGAGGTATCACATCAGCTTTGTATAGACCGAAGAATCGTAAACTTATGGAATACGTTATCAGAAGGACCAATAGAGGCAGATTCTTTGAAGTGTTTTAAAACGCGTATCGACCAGTATTTTGGAAATCTGTGCTTTTGTGAAACTGTGCACATACAACGCAAAAAGTACATTCTATACCCGGAAATAATGACATCAATACGAATTTCTAACCAAAGAAGGATAAACGATTAAATGATAAACACTACCGCTGACGATTCGCAGCTAAATGTTTTTGATTTTTCATAATTCGATAGAGTTGTACAGAAAATTTCTACTTGCTCTTAAATACAGTCTCATTCGTAGTCGTTATCTTCTGCCCAACCAGCTCGTGGACAAAGTATCACAAACCTAACAACCGGGGGGTCACGGGTTCGAGCCTGCGTAGAGGACCAAGCGACCTCGCACAATTGGTATTGGTTGTGGGGTAGCGAAGCGCCGGTACGTAGTACCGGAAAATGGGTCGCGCTATATCCCGTTTAGCTTGCAGGTTATGACTGTCTGCCACAGTCCACGTGACATGAGCTGCTAGCGAGCAGCGCAAGCTCTCATGGTTCATTTTCTGATGGAGTCAGAAGAAGCGCACAAATAACGACTCCAATAAGGAGAAACGATCGTCTGGTTCTTTGATGGATTGGTAATTGGACTTACATGGTGCCTGTTGTTTTATGTTTATGGGGACGCTTGTTTCATTTCTAAGCGCTCTCTCCCCTCACAGACCAATATGTGATCGCATCTCCGTCTTGTTAGAACCTCTGGTAATACGGTTCGTAGCAAGAAAACGAAAAAAGAGCATCAGCGTTACTTCTTGCCGATGCTTGGATGTCACACTATCAGTCGATTGGGATGCTGTGAACTTGTCCGCGTCTACGGTGGACGAGCCGGTGACCTGCGGGTCACAGGACACGACAATTCCATACGCACATACAGTAGCTGTGTTTGTTCTGCACCTTGACAGACTGCTGTTATCTGCCCTCGTATTGGTCCATACTCAACTTCATGTCTTGCAAATCCGGTTCATCCTGAATGAAGTGAGCCACTGGCAGCATCTTTAAAGCTGGCGATTATCTATGCTTCCGGTTGCCAAATGTGTGTTGGCGTTGGCATCACTCTTCTATGTTATCAAGTGTAATATCCAGGTCGTTTTTGTATAGGACACCCTGAAGTGCTGGCCGCAAGCGCTTTGCAATCACGCGTGTTTTTATCTGGATCCACCGTTAGGTCACAAAACAGCATTTCACAGATGAAGAAGCATTGTTGTCGCTTACATATCTTTAGAATTTATCTGTAGACTCACTGGTAGTCTTACTGGAGTCAAAGGAAACACAGTGCGCGCAATGCAGACAGGTACCTGATGCTTCTTTATCTGGTGATCAGCGAGTGAATTACGCTCTTAGTGACTACTTCGCTAGATTCACTTTAACATAGAAATAGTTCAATTACTTATTAGACGGGTTTGACAAAAGCTATTGGGTCTATCACAAGTATATTTCAAGCCACTAAGGTACCTTGCCAATCTGGAAAAGCACCTGGGGGCCGCTTCGCCCTATTAGGGCTCATCAGTTGTGCAAATCCCATCGAGCCTCTTCCGATTATTGAACCCACTGCTAGTGGCTTGCGCCGCCTTGCCCACAGCCCTGGAGAACGATAGCGGACTATCATGAATTGATGCCTAACTGCAATATGGAGCGACCCATCCTCCAATTCTATACAGGTGACTGCTCGTGCAGAGAACCGGTTGGTCGTCAGGACATGTTACCAGTAGCCATGTATTCACACAGCTACTTTACCCTTGCTTCTCATTAATCAGGACTACTGAGCCACAATGACCGATATGAATAGGATGGCAGTTACGATTTGGCGCGTCGTCAAACGTATGAATCGATGGCCCACTGAGTTGTTGGACGCATAATGGCCGTCTTATGCAAACGTTTGGTGCGACGGATTCCCACCTGGAGCAACAGTGGCAGTGCCCGTTACTTTCCTCAACTACTAAGGTGGCGTTTTAGTTCGCGTGCCTTACGGTCCATTGCGTTACGATCGGTGTCCCTTCCTTAGAGCTTCCCACGTCAAGTGAACCAATGTAGGAGCGCAAATCAACAGAAGGAAAAATAATATCCGATACGCATTGAATGTGAGCGCAATGATACCTTTGGTTCTACGATTGCATAATATCTCTCCGAGCCTTTTGCAGCTGGTACGGCAGATGATGCAGCCTTCATTCAGGAAAAAGTCGTGTATCAGCCCGGCGAAGTTTTTCAGTCAAGTTCTTGCCTGTTTACGCACTGTTTTTTTCGGGTATGCACCTCGCGATTCCCTTTGGGCATGTTGTCCGGAAGCAAACTGCACCGAAGTTGGCTATCGACAAGCTTACAAATGACAGAATGGCCTAGCCAACACAAACCATCCGAGCTCGACAGCGATCCAGTGCGGCAACAGACATGTTGCGTACTTCATTTTTGCTCATTGGTAATCACGATAGGTGCAGCACTTGACCGATGGTCAAGGCAGCCAGTCTTCTGGGATCTGCACCACGCGGTTGAAGTATCTGTGGTCACTATAGCAATAACGGATGCGCTGTAAATGATGTGTCGATCGTTACTTAGTACTTGGGCATAATAATAATAATGTGCCAGCTGTACGCCGTAACGGCGCTTCGCTGCCGCGCGACCACCACTAGTCGCGCGGGCTGAGTATACCGCGAGGACGCCCACCGCTACGCGGATTCGAACCAGGAACTTTGGTTGCAAACCAAGTGCGCAGACCACTCGGCCATCGGCCGAGCGTAGATAGATAGAGCATAAATAGCTAACTGGCTCACATCCGTTTTTTCGCAAATTTCTTCCACAGTTGTCACGTGGAGCATTTTCATGAGTCGATCGATTCGCCGTCCTATGTTCGGCTAGAAGCCGAATATACAATTATACATGGTTTATTGCGTTTTTCATGGTAACGGTTGGAGATCATGAGTGCTTTTCTGCGTTTTCGTCCTTTCCACTTTCGGTTTTGCTTCCGAAGTCGTTGACAGTACCAATAAATAATAAGGGGTTATCCCTGGCGATGTGGTAAAAATATTACCTTTGAACGAACTTTCTGACAGCGCCGGACGTCATTAGTACAAATATCGTTGCACTCTCAAAGTAACGTTATCACTTGAAACTGCTTGTGTTATCACCATATCTCACTGTAGATGTCGGAATGGTCGTGAACGTAGGTATAAATCCCAACCCCTGCGGTCCGTCATCCTCCACGTTTGTTGATGCGCGTCTCACTCGTACTACCTCTCATAAACAAGTAGTGAGACGAGTTAATGATTCGAATCAAATTCATCATTTCCTATTGGCGGTTTCCTGTGTAACACCAATCGACTGTCTCGTATTTCCGGCAATAGCCCACAACCGAGCATCGCAGTGTCATGACTAACCTGCTATTCAAGTCGGCCGCAAGTCTGCATCGTGGTGCAAAGGCTCTTTCACTACCCGCGTAAATTATTGAGCCACAGTTTCGAGGGAATGCACTTTGTTGACAAGCCACGATCGAGGGTAGCATTTTTGCCGCTTTTTCTGATATTAGTGCTTGTGTGACTGAATATAGTTTTGTTGGCTTCTCTGGCTACTATATTTTGGATATTTTAGGATACGCATTATCAATGACGACGCATTCTCGTTGATGTTTCCAGCTACTTTTGCTGAACACTTTTCCATCTTAACGCTACCTGTATTGGTGTCCTATTTCATAAAGTGCGTTGTTTGCTTCCGGTATACTTTGGGTGAGTCAGGTACGATTAGCACGGTTCCGTTATTAATTTGACTATGACACCGTGTGTTTCGCGTTAACTGTTATATGTGGACCTAACGTATACACTGGGGTATCAAACTTCCATTCAGCGTCTCTTGCCATCCGTAATTCATTTCAGTCAAACTGTGAAAGACGAGGGCCTCGTTGCACTGTTCAAAGGTGGGGGTTGTCGGATTCTCGTGATGGCCCCACTGTTTGGCATTGCTCAAAGTGTCTACTACCTTGGCGTCGCTGAACGTCTCTTGGGCTACCAGCGTATTTGAACACAACCCTCTCCATATCACTCTTGGCTGTTGGACACCCGGTGTCAATATCATTCCTATAGTTTGATTCGAATATATGGACGCATCACGCACCCTTTCCTTCTTTTTATGCGTGCAGTTTATTTGGAATATGCAACTGGCGCCTCTTTTCCACACTGTAACTTGCACATGCTTGAAACATATTGCTTCCTTTTTTATATCTTCACGCGTTCACGCTTTGTATGTATATTCTCAATATATCTGGTGCTTATTTTTGCACGTTCTTACTGAATTCCATTGCTCCTCTATTCTGTTTCCCATCAGTTTGGTATAATTTCATCTTCTACGCTTACTTTCCAATATCCTAGGAAAAATCTGCATGTGTCCTTATAGGGATATGTAATATGGGTTAGCTAGAAACTCAACAAATACGTCTGTTTTCTAAGTTGCGCAGTCACTGACTGCCTCACGATGCATCTCCTCTTAGTCCCCGTGGTGCGGCTCTCGATTAGCCTTTGCGCCTGGTCTTGTTGGAACTCAACGCTGGATCGTCGAAGGCGTCATCGATCATGCTGTTCCCCCTAGTGTTTACGCGCGTTCTTCTACGTCTTGCACCTGGATGCATCTTTTCCGCTGGATGTCCATTGCACGCGTGACTACCGGATAACACATGACTGGTGCATCGTGATTTGTGATCACGCTGCAGTCATGCACTCATACATTACGCTGTTTATAAGGTCTACTATATTCCACGTTCCAGCTATTCGTGTGCATAGGGCGATAACATCGGGCAGCTTTCCAAAATAGAACAAATTCCAGGCATACTTAAATGGAATTGTCATGCATTTCGTATGGAACTTCGGGGCAGTGTCATTTTCGTTCTCCCCCAAATTAGTGGTCAGAGTTCGGAGCTCTTTATCGGACCCCATACAAGTCGAGTGTGGTGTGCCGCAAGGCTCAGTTCTAGGTCCACGTTTATTTTTGGTGTTTATTAATGACCTTGCACATGAAATTGCTTCAAACTTCCTAATGTTTGCAGACGATATCAAGATCTGGCGCAGGATCCAGGCGAACGCCGACCAACATGTGCTTCAAAGTGACTTAGCTACAGTGTATCAATGGTCGACCCAAAACCTATTGCATTTCAACGTCAGTAAATGCAAGGTGCTTTCCATCCGACATCAAAGCAGCTACTCATACCGACTCGGAACGGATGTACTGCAACAATCAACTCTCGAACGTGACTTGGGTGTCCTGATTCAAGATGACTTGGGTTGCTCCAGGCAATCCGAAAAGGCCTCAAAGACCGGGAACCAACACGTCGGGCTATTGAGGCGGGCATTTGGACAAATAAACAGCCCCATATTTCGACAAATGCTCAGTGTTTATGTTCGCCCCCATGTCGAATACGCAATTCAAGCCTGGCATCCATGGCTGAAACACGACCTTAATGCACTGGAGCAGCCACAACGCCGGGCATCTAAGAACGTAATTGGAATGCGCATTCGTTCCTACCAGCAGAGGCTGCGACGACTAGGATTGTTCAGTGGAAGCTATCGCAGACTACGAGGCGACCTTATTATGGCATACTTGATTCTGCGAGACCCACATCATGTGTGCCGCCCTTTACTGCAACTCAGCAGCAATGCAAACCTGATGGGCCACTCATTAAAACTCGCAGAACAATACAGTCTTCTGGAGTGCCGCAGAAATTTCTTTTCCATCCGTGTCTGTCACCCGTGGAATGCTCTCCCAGAATCGGTCGTCTCTGCACCGACACTAGCAATATTTAAAAGACGGTTGGACGAAGCACTCATCCACTTACACTTTGTTACTTAACACTACGTCTCCATCCTACACCTGGAGTTTACCATGGAATTATTTGTTGTTAACTGTGGATGCTGTGAATCTAAGAGGATCGCAGGACTGCAGCGAAGCAAACGATAAGTCCTTATTTTCGTATTTAAAGTATTAACTATTTTACTATCCTTATCATCATTATTGTTATGTTGATATCCCGTGCAACTATCCAACGGGACTTGTAAAGCAACGCTACTTAACCCGTATAAATTCATTGTTCATTGTCCTCTGCTTCGGTTTGTTAGTCGAACTATAATGCCCTGCCTTTTGCTCCTTGCTGCTCTGGCGCATCCACTAGTTTATTTGGGAACGGTCTGTCCTGTCGCTTACACCTAACCTAAGAAATGCTAATCTTTGCAAACTACGTCTACTTTCGTCACATTAATAGACCCGTGAATGGTTCTTGATTGAGTGGCTATGTGCGAAGATCTCCTAATATGGCGAGTGGACTCCAGGCGGATGCGCGGTCATTTGTCCAGATGCGTCTTATATGCACTAGAATCCAGTCTGGCGAATATGTTTGCCGTTTGCTGATGCTCTGCCGCGTTGCAGTGCGTGTGCCAGTTAACATTCTGCTACGACGGAATGGAATTGGCCAGCCAAAATTTCGTATCACGTTAAGTAAGCCTGAATTTGTTGGTGTTGCAACTAGACTAAGGCTTAAAGTTGCCCGATGGTCCGTTTGTTTTTCGGATCAACTGAGCCTTTCTGAGAGGGCGTATTGGGCTCCTTTCCAATTGCTCCTAGCAGGCTGGCTAATGGCTAGAAATCGGACAAACGCTGTCCTGCCAGCTGATGACTTAGTTTGGTTGGTAACCACTTCCACGAAACTTTCCTTTCTTGAGATCTTACAATGTTTTCGCTGCTGGGATTTTTAATCATGTACTTTAATTAGGGTCTTTTATTGCTTTTTCGCTGGCCGTTTGGGTACACTGGTGGCCAACACAGTCATGATATATCGCTGCTATACCGGCACAAGGTGCCAATGTACAGCTATTGCTGATATTTAATAGCGTATCCGCTGTGCAATGAGAATTTTGGTAACTTATCGTTAATCTCTATGATCACGGCGTGAAATCTCTACTAGTATGCTCGGTATAAACCAGAGATAACTCATGTTTATATATATATATATATATATATATATATATATAATGAAAAAATGAAGAAGGTGAGTTTATGACAAACTCATGTTGATTTCAGGTGTTGCGAATCCAAGGCAAATTTGATCGATGCGAATTCCGTGAACTACTCAAAAGGGCGGTTTCTCAGGTGCCGGAGAAGGCACAATTGTACGCGGAATAGAAGCACCATGAGTATGTTCCCATTCAATTTACTAATCCAGGCCAATAAGGCGGCGTATGTGGTACGTTTGCCTGCGTGATGAATAATCTTGCATTTCAGAAGTAGATGTTGCTTGAGCTCCCCTGTGTGGATGCGCCTGATGTGAATGTTGACAAGGTGCCTACCTGTCTATTACCCACTACCTCGTCCATACTGGCTCCAGGAGACAGTTGGTCGTCGCTGGAGGAGACGGAGTGCACCGTCCTCGTGACGGTGCTAGGCTCAAAGAGTGGTTCCATGCACTCAGTGTGGAGCGGACTACGGTCCAGCCACCGCCTCGTGTACGTCTGGTGTGTATGATTTCCCAATTAGGCCGGAATGCTTCCGTTCTGCTTGTTGAAGGAGTGTGGGCCGGCTCCGTTGATGAAACGTGGCTCCAATCCGCATGCCTCCCGGTCTTATTCCTTCGGGTTTACACCGGATATGGGGTGTGTGGATGGAACTATGGGTGGTGCAACGCAAGCCACCCATGGTCCCTCTGTAGGCGCAGGCGTCCTGTGACTGTCCCCATGGACATCACAGTGACAGGCAAATCCGGATACGGACGCCGCTAAATCATATATATATATATATATATATATATATATATATATATATAAGCTGGATAAATTTAATTCCGCTATATATTTGGTTTGTTCTGCCTCCCTGAATAATGTTCTATTAACTGGCCACGTTGCTTACACTAATTGCGCTTATCTTCGGTAGTTTTGTTGCGTTTTGTAGCATTTTTAAGTAACTTGTGGACATTTCTTACTTATCACGGATTTGTTGTTAACGCACTTACTTCAAATGGTAAATTAGCGAAGAGTTATGCCACCGTATCTGTATGCATTGTTGGATTTATTTTATTTCAACTTGTCGTTTAAAGTGAATGGCTGTTGTTTGATATCCCGGTGTGGTTGCGCTTGATGTGTATGTTGACAAGGTGCCTACCTGTCTATTACCCACTACATCGTTCATACTGGCTCCAGGAGACAGTTGGTCGTTGCTGGAGGGGACGGGGGTGCACGGTTCTTGTGGCCGTGCTAGGCTCAAAGAGCGGTTCCATGCACTCAGTGTGGAGCGGACTACGGTCCAGCCACCGCCTTGTGTGTACTTGATTCCCCAAATACAGCGTGCTTGTGTTTGCCTGTGAAGGAGTGTGGGCCGGCTCCGTTGATGAAACGTGGTTCCCATCCGCATGCCTCCCGGTCTTATTCCTTCGGGTTTACACTGGATATGGGGTATGTGGTTGGAGCTGTGGGTGGTGCAGCGCAAGCCATCCATGGTCCCTCTGTAGGCGCAGGCGTCCTGTGGCTTGCCACAGTGACAGGCAAATCCGAAACCGGATGCCGCCAACCATGTATGTATGTGTGCCCCATGCTGAGGCTGATGTTGCATTCTTGATGCTTCTTCACCGCAGTTGGGCTAAACCAACTTACACTTAAACTAGGTCTTTTTAAGCTGGATAAATTTAATTCCGCTATATATTTGGTTTGTTCTGCCTCCCTGAATAATGTTCTATTAACTGGCCACGTTGCTTACACTAATTGCGCTTATCTTCGGTAGTTTTGTTGCGTTTTGTAGCATTTTTAAGTAACTTGTGGACATTTCTTACTTATCACGGATTTGTTGTTAACGCACTTACTTCAAATGGTAAATTAGCGAAGAGTTATGCCACCGTATCTGTATGCATTGTTGGATTTATTTTATTTCAACTTGTCGTTTAAAGTGAATGGCTGTTGTTTGATATCCCCGGTGTGGTTGCGCTTGATGTGTATGTTGACAAGGTGCCTACCTGTCTATTACCCACTACATCGTTCATACTGGCTCCAGGAGACAGTTGGTCGTTGCTGGAGGGGACGGGGTGCACGGTTCTTGTGGCCGTGCTAGGCTCAAAGAGCGGTTCCATGCACTCAGTGTGGAGCGGACTACGGTCCAGCCACCGCCTTGTGTGCGCTTGATTCCCCAAATACAGCGTGCTTGTGTTTGCCTGTGAAGGAGTGTGGGCCGGCTCCGTTGATGAAACGTGGTTCCCATCCGCATGCCTCCCGGTCTTATTCCTTCGGGTTTACACTGGATATGGGGTATGTGGTTGGAGCTGTGGGTGGTGCAGCGCAAGCCATCCATGGTCCCTCTGTAGGCGCAGGCGTCCTGTGGCTTGCCACAGTGACAGGCAAATCCGAAACCGGATGCCGCCAACCATATATATATATATATATATATATATATATATATATATATATATATATATATATATATGCGTTACTTATATTGGGATCACGCCAATTCTGATATTCATAAACGATTTCGTGATGTATCTCTCCTCGAATTTCCTTTTCTTCGCTGATGATATTAAGATATCATCGCTACAGCGGAAGGTTACACGGCACTGCAGCGGGATCTCAAATGCAAATATTTGAGCATACGCCATCCAAACAATGATGAATACTGACTTGGGTCATAAATGCCGCAGCGACTGCGGCACGTAAATATGCTGGATGCTGCATGTTTAATTTGTTCTCTCGACAACAAATGACAACCTTGGACGTCTCAATGGAGCCAAATTACTACGAAATAACATTTAGTACAATGTGATAAGCGCATAAAAAATAAGAAAAGCTGCCAAATCAGCCAAATGCAAAATGGGGAAATTCCACAACAGATTGCAAACATGTTCACGGAGTCAGGCATTTTCGGTCCATTGAACTCACTGAAAAGAGAGAATTGTAAATAAGTGTCGCATAAATAAAGCGTCGTTTGTACAAAGCTGTTGAGAGGTCAAAGTGCTTATCAATAGCAAACGATGTGCAACTCACGCACTGCGGAACCCCGTCATAGTTAGCAGTGATGTATTTGAGGCTATCCACTCGTCACATTAAAGCGGACATCAATCGTAAATACGAAGAGTGTCTATTACACAGGTATAGGAACTGAGTGATACTTCCGTATTCTGTTGCTGAATCGAACGTCACTAATATTGCATGTCCAAATAAGCTACCTACGATTAAATTACTGCTGACCAGAGGCACAAGGTTATTCTCGGTTGCAAAAAGGCCCAAAATAATCTCGCCGGCAATCATATTCAGTAATCACACGCTGTTTCTATAACAGCCGAAGTTTATTTAGTTTAGAAAACCGCCGAAATTTATGTCTTGTAGTTGAGACGAAACCGGTCAAAAGCAAACAATTTGAGAGCGAGCCTGCCCCGATGTACATATACGATTGACTGCATACCAGATGGCAGCGCCTATAGTCAGCCGTTCACTATGCAAAAACCGACCACCAAGTTGTAGCAAGTTAAACCGGCCAGTAAAAGTGACAAGCCCGATCTTACAAAAGTTGATAGCCGTAAATTGGTGGCAGATATCCACAGATCAAGTTGCAAGTAGGAAAGTTCAATTATATGAATGCAATCGCAAGAGAAATGATGCAGTAACAACAACTGCACCTACAGATGCGTCCTGTTGCAGAAACAATGACTAGCGCACCGAAACGGCGTGTAGACCGATTCATGGCGAATTTATCGGGGCACGAAGAGAACAATTCTCTGATAACGCCGTCCTCAATGACGCACTTTCGTGCTATACCAGTGATAGAAACATTGCTAACGGGGCAAAAAACAATCATGATGCAACACATTCCAATTCTCCAATCAACTAACTTTACCGGATAAGGGATAACACAACAGTGATGCGAAGCAAGATGAGGACAAGTACGTCGTTCATCCTTCTATAGCAATAGCAAATGAAACATGTGGAGATCCTACCCAAGATTTAAGCTTATTCGAAAAAACTCGCCAAGTGATCAATAACCGCGAAGTCGCACGTGACAGAATGGGTAGCTCGACTGCATAACAGAGGCGTTTACCTCCATGCCTGAAGGCTCAACTGCAAGTTATAGCATCCATACTTTCTGCCAGGAGCTATCCAACCTCGTTCGAGTGATCACGTGCTCTTTGAATTTGGTAATAATTAAGCAAACGCTTTTGCTAAACCGAAAGACTTTATTATAGCATAGCAACACGTTGCGTGCATTGTGACTTTTGGTTTTCGGAGGTTGGCAACCTGTTTGGTTACGCATCGAAGCATTCCGAGAGACCTCAGCGGTCGCCATATTCCACAGGATAAGTCGGATACTGCAGTTACACTGATGATACATGTGCGCATGGTCTGTTGGGCTAGCTTACTAAGGATGTCATTTGCCGAAGCAGTATTTGTTCGTGTTGTGGAGAGTGAAGGTAAATTTGTACGTTCTGTATTCAGCTGAATGGTCAATACACTGTATGCATAACCCAGTCTTTCAGGGACGACGATTCATTCGACAAATGCAAATCAGTGGAAATGATAGCACATTCACCAGCTAATCGGTTCGGCGTATATTATCATTATGTACCCAACACTAACACATCTTTTGAGTCTATGAGTTTCTGTCTTTAATGCAGTCAAGAAAACAATGAAGAAATTCGTAGTAGCACTATAATGATAATAATAATAACGTGTCGGCTGTACGCCGTAACGGCGCTTCGCTACCGCGCGACCATTACCAGTCGCGCGCGGGCTGAGTATACCGCGAGAACGCCCACCCCTACGCGGATTCGAACCGGTGACCTTATGGTTGCAAAGCAAACGTGCAGACAACTCGGCCACCGGCCGACGTAGTAACACTGGGAAACACACGCCAATCGGTGGATCGACGACCCCGACAGATGTTTCCAGTCAAATGTGTGGCTCGTTCCTAGGGACCAACCGTTTACTCCCATCACATTGGACGGATGTCAACTTGCATGCTAACAGAAGGATTCGTCTCACATTCAAAGATGTGCAATACTGCCCTAGAAAACCGTTGTTATCGAACCAGTACAGTTGCAAATTGGCTTACACTGTCCATACCAGAACGTCAGTTCGATGGTTTTATTCGATTTGGTGCTGATGACTGAATGACCATCAACACCAATATTTACCCAAAATATAGCCTGTACCGAAGATAAGAATATGTGTAGGCTATGCAGCAGTGGTAGGTGCTCTTCAACCTTGCACTTGGCTGACGCTGTAAGGCACCAAACCGAATAACAATAAGCTGTGCTCATCGGGATCAGAACACGTGCAGCCGATTGCTTGTTGTCGATTTGATCCCCGCCGCCTGGCAACAGGAGATGGAGCATAGCATAACTGGCCTACCCAGTACCATAACATACGTGAATGGAGGGGAGCGGGATCCAGCTAGTTAGCTGAGAAGCAATCGGGTAGTCCACCAAAGTAAAGGATATTGAATCGGCTGAAGAGGAGCGGCTTAAAATCACAGCGGAAATTATGCCTGTTCACCGCGTCCTATGCTGACTGTTTGGGCACTCTGGTGCAGAGGAGCTGAAAGTAATGAGGCGGGGGGAATAAGTACTCACTTAAGGTATCAAATCAAATTAGCGTCAGCATTGGTCATTACTGTGTTTTCTAGCTACAACCCATATATAGCAACCGCTAACTTTAGAATTGTCGAAACAGTGTGTATGCAACCACAATCAACACACGCATCAAACAGTTGCCCTAAGCTAAAATCCGGTCTGATCGATACCCGAGCGATCACAATTTGTCACTGTTCGCTACGTTCGCACTTATCGTCCGAACAACAGGTTCGTACGAAACGACTCTCCGCTGCTCCCATGTACCTATTCCAACGGTAGAATGCCAGTGGGCGAAAGATGAACGAAGTTGGATATCAGCATGACATGCAACAATGGTCGATACGGTTGCAGGTAAAGGGTGCATGACTGAAAAGTTTGCTCTGGGTGTTGGAATTGGAACACACAACTGCAATAAGCACTTCCACCACGAATCGCCAATTTATCGCAAGGGCGGTCGAAAAAAGAAACGCCGGCAAAATTCATTTGGTTCTGCACAGCGTGCACGACCATACAACTCACTAGGTGTATTCACTGTGTTCGTGCAAAAATGCGGCAGACTGACAGTGATCGACGGCTATAAAAAACCCACCGATACTACTACTGCTAACTACTCCTAGTACAGAACGTGGGTTCTGATGCTCAAACAGCAGTTTTGCTTTCGAACGGAGGTGATTTCGGGATATACGTTATATCATTTACCCGACTCTAAGTTGTCCTTCACGATAAGGATTTTTTCTCAATTGTTTCGTAGGGCCCTACTGCTAAATACTGTCCCATTTTTCCATATAATTCGATTTGTTCATAACCACTACACTCTTGCCTTTATCCGCTTCCGGTATGATGATAGTAGGATCTTCTATTAATACGGTACGCTCCGCTGTTGTAAGATTTGGCTTCCAAGGCTTCTGAAATCTGATGATGTCTACCACTTGTGCACGAATATCCTCAGCTGTTGATACTGGTAATTTCGTCATCCCGATCTCAAAGATAGTAATAACTTCTTCTGTAGCTAGTTTAGATTTATTTACATAAAAGTTCAAACCCATTTTCAATAATATACGTTACGTCTCACCCAACAACCTATCATCATAAAGAATACGCGTTAGCTGAGGGTGAGAAACACAATTTAGCTGTGCCACAGCACAAAAAAGAGAGGGCACTAAAAATTACAGACTACAAAAGAATTTAAAAAAGCAAGTACAGAGGGAAAAACTCAGGTGACCGACGCAACTGAAATGACGAAAAAATAGTCTGCCGTTCGTAGGGTTCTGGAAATTCAGAATTCCAACAAACTGAAGACTTAGGTTTGTGATCTGTAATAGTTTCGGTATATACGTGAAACACTGATTTGGCGATGTGATCGCCAAGTGAAGATAAAGCGTATCTTTACCACCCAACTATAACTGGGTGGTCCAAAAGCTTGTCTATTATTCAAAACTGTCCATCGACTAAAATATATAAGTTACTATCAGCCGGTATACCAACAAACTTCCCCGTATGATCTAAGAAGCAAATACTATGTGAGAGAACCACTTCGTTGCCGTATGGTATACTTTTCGTTTCGCTAAACTCTTTGGCTTTTGCCCATTCCAACATTACGTTATCTTTCGTTCCACCATGTTAACATGTCAGTGCTTTTCTCTTTCTCTGTTCTGCACTGCTAACGGTCATCTCTTCTTTTCCGGAGGAAACAACTCGATTACCCGTAGCAGTTCTCAGTGATCCACGAATCCAATTTTTAGGTACCAATCACTCGACAACTTGATTGTCTGGAGTCGTTGGATCTGTCACAAAACCCTACAGAGAGCTGTCGCTGTTTCTGTAATCCCTATGTACAAACTGAGGCAGAATCCGTCGGACATATGTTACATATCGATATTTTAATTTCACTATATTTCTATTTCTCTTTTTCACTGTTAGCCATGACTGTGAGATCTCCGAAGTAATCAATAAATCCATGTGAGACGAATTGCCACAGACCTACTGGCGAGTAGCAAAGTTGTAAAGCTCGAAACAGACCGAAAGGGTTATAATGGTAAAAAAGTAAAGCTTATTTCTCTAGAAACATAACATCCCTAAAGATAAGCTAATATCTCCTATACCACATTGGCGCAGGGCCAGATGGGGCGTGGAAGTGCGGATAAAACTCGAGAGACTACCCCGCAGGAAAGCAGGTCCTCATTAGTTCACTTGAACGTTTTCAATAAGCACTTCCTCCTACTCTCAGCTTTTCTGTACTTTTTTACATTATAAATGGTCGAACATTTCGAAAATCTATTTGGGAACTGTTGAGGATTATTTTGAAATAGTCGTGCAGTGTTTTCGGGCGGGCAACACCCAATTTCTATTTGTATCTGGGAACCGCATTAGAAAAGTTAAAGAAATAGCTACCTTTTGCGATCCTGTTTTATACATTGATCAGACCATACAGTGAAACTGTATATAACATAATCATGAAATATACAACCGATAACCATGACCCAACCATCGAAAGGATTCGGGTTCAACAGGCACTCCGACGGAGACCTACCACTACATGGTGAATTTTAGTGCTATTAATTCGGTCTTTTCAGCATACATGAGTAATAATGCCCAAACGTCCGTCGTCAGAAAAATCAGCCGTCCAATTTTCTCGGAGCATATCGTCCAAATCTCGGATCCGTGGAGTATCACTGGATGCACCACAGCGCTAGAAACCACTCAGCGTATATACTACCGTCTCCATAAGTGACTGAGGCTTTGAAATGAACCCCAGAAACCTGGAGCGAGAAACTTCCGGGTGATGCAAACGCAAATTGCGATGCTGCAACTCATCAACCACGGCAGCGGAGTTCGGCACAAACAGAGCTATATCATCAGAATATCGTAGACGTAACGGTCGGTCGCGCAGCAGAGTTATGCACGCTCATTTCGATCACAAAGTTAGGGAAAGTGTGAAAATCAGGTAACATCCTTGGTGCTCTTCATCTGTCGTTCATTCACAGGGGAGAGATGACTCCTGCACGGTAACGTGAATCGAGATGTAATGATTTTACAAAGGAGAACATTCTCAGGTACATCCTTCAAAAACAGCCACCATGAACACAAACCAAGATGATGGGGAGCACGTTCAGCTCGAGGAGGGTTACACAAAATCTCATTGCGATCTGCTTGAGGCCAGTTACACACAGCTTTGAAAGATTCAGAACTACTGGCCTGCAATATTCGACCATGGTATACTATGTAGATGCGAATACAGCCAGCCGCAGATCGGAGGTGACGGGTGTGTATCTTACAAATCAAGGGCTGCCTGGCCTGATTGGTGTTTTCGTACTGTTAGAGACAACGCGTCCCACTCCTGCTCTACATCAACAGAGCTCAGTCAATGGGACAAGTCGCCGAACTTTTAGACCTACCTCTTACCTGTTCCTACATCACGAGGATCTAGTGCGACGATAATCAATGGCCTCAGTGGACAGAAAAAACTTAGGCCAAAAACTTCCACTCTCACAGCAATCAGAAGACCTGACAAGTAACCACTACACGCCATTTAACACATCATCACGATGATCAGATGGTCGGAAACTGTGTAAGACTTTGGAAGGCTCGATGCAATTATATAGAGGCAGATAGCTGTTACAACCAGGAATTGTGATCCAACGTCGTTTCGGTGGTTCACGGGATTAATCGATCCACAACACAGTGGCATTTAAAGGTGATGTGTGTAAGAGACATGCACGAGAGTTCGGGGAAGATTTTGTGTGTTGGGTCTTGTGTCTAGAACTGCTGTCGGAGCTCAATGGCATAGCGATCATCCGATAGCTGACAACCACTATGTGCGGAGTTCCACCCATAGATCAGGCTATTTTGAGTTGATGAGACGAAATGGACGAAACTCGTCGTGGGGTAAGCGATGGTAGGGAGCAGGGGGGGATTTTGTTCCCACTAGGTTTGTAGCGGCGAGTTCCTGTATGCCGCTGCTCTAGCTTCGTGATCGTCTTTAGCGCTGAACGCCTTTACGTAGTAACTGATATCTGGCAGCTAGGAGAGGTCCACCTGCTGCCTAATTATCAGAACACAAACACGAAGACGTAGGTCTATAGCTCAACTCTCGCTAACTTTCAGGAGCGCCCTTTGCCTCAGCCGTTCTCTTCACATGTATGTGAATTAGCAGTACAACAGCGAAGACACCAATATCGAGTGTCCCAACAAAAACGATCATGCATTGAAAATGAACATCGCGCATTCACACAGTAGTCCAGTATTACGCTGAGTAAACTGAAATTCATATGCGTGAACTTTGTGTCCCCCTCCCTCACCATTAGCCGGACATTCACTCTGCCTCACTCCTGCTGCCTTCTGATGCAATCGCATAGTTGCGTAAGAGTGATCCCTCATCAAACGGAATGAATTCAACCGGACGCATGCAAAAGGATGATCAAACTACTAGAGAAACGATCCTGAATATATAAGACGCTAACTAGTTGGTGGTCTGAGTGTTTGCTGAGCTCGACAGTTTGGCTACAAATGTTTCGTCACAACTCGAGATGACATCGTCAGTGTGAGTGTATGTAGCAGAACGGAGCAGCGCGGTACGAAGCGTTAGCGAACACTCAGACCACCAACTGAACAACATAAGTTACCAACATTTGCTTCTTTATCACGCTAACTCGTTTCACATAGTAACTGCTACTCTACAAAAATCAAAGACTGTGTGACGTAAGGTCCAACTGAGCTGTGAGCAGTGACAAGGATCATAAGCAGTACGAGGATACTTCGCGCTGAGAGTTCGATACCACGCGACCACCACCATTCGTGCGTGGGCCAGGGGTACTCTGAGGTCGTAAAGTGACCGGCCATCCACCAACAAATGGTACCGTTGATGCCCCGAAGTAATACTATATCGGCTAGGGTGACGCAATGCAAGTGATGAAATGAGAAAGTGTGTAGTGAGTATAAAACTACTCACTCAAATGAACAGTTCTGAAGTGTCTCTGTAAACTGGTTTTGTGAGAAAACGATTTATCACAGCGGTCGCATGTTTGGGGGGATTTTTCTGAATAGGAGATAGAAAACCAGTGGTTAGAGATAGACCACAAGGTAGAACAGGTGCAGAAAAGTGAATAATCTGCCGTAATATGCGTGTACATATTGTAGTAAACCAAAACGATAAATATAGTGCAAAAAAATTTGAGGAATCACCGTGTAAAAAATTTCTGCTAATACATAATTTCGCGGTAACTAGAGAGAGGAAGATGAGAAATCGTGCGCAAATGACTTGGTACCAACATAATACGTGCGATGCAGGGTGCCTTAACTATCTGAATGATCCCGGTGCATCAACATGCAGGGATTGGAACGAATGCTCAATCAAAAGATATCGGCCTTCAGCTTCGAGATCCCAAACACGACGAACCGTCTTGGGTACGATGCGAAAGTAAGTCATTTTCCATCTTAGTAAGGTTAAAATTCGCTAAGAGGAAAGAAGAGTGGTATGATGAGGATCGCACCAAGCTAGGCATTCAAGTCTGAGTTGTATTTCGAAGTATATCGTGTCTTCTCTGCAATGATTTCCGTGAGGACTTCGGAGCTTTGTAACAGCTGGACAAATCACGTGAATCCTTGCATCTGACTGACGAGCATGATCATTCGACAAGTTAGTTTGAGTAGGGAAACACCTAAGCCACAGTATTCTAACCAAGTGTGGACATTGTTTCTGGGATCCCTACACGGCCGCCGAGAGGCACGAAGCAAGGGAGGCCCATTCGTTTCGCATCACAGTAGTTCACTTAGAAAGATCAAAAGTTACACGAGGTAAAATGCACTCGTGTCGTAAGCATTAACAGTATGGTTAAAGTCCCCGAAACCACGTTATATGATCAAGGATGGAACTTAGCAAACGATAAAGTCAAAAATAAATGAAAACTCTATTTTCATACTCACTCGTATGAACAATTCTGATGTGCATCCTTAGACTGCGTGTTCCACTAAACGATTTGTCACAGTGGGCACAAGCATATGCATGTTGTCCTGAATCGGGCAACAGAAAGCAAGTAAGTACGGATGAATTTCGCAGGAAAATCAGACGAAGGATAGTGAATGATCAGTCTTAGTTCGTGAACACAATGTGTGGGCTTAATGAGGATCTACTGAGTAGAACATTGGCTTTCCATAGCGAAATTGCACGGAACAAGGACGAAGATGGAAAACGGCGTGCGTAGTGTACGTTAATACCAGCAATAGATACCAATATTATGTCCGTGCTAATATAACATTCGCTTCGCGGCCATGATTCAAAATGCACATAGAAGTAAGGAATCGCACTGAATTTGTCCCGGCCTATCAGCCTGAAGACATATAGCTCTACGCCCGACCATCATTTGAAACTGAACGTCCAAAGTATTGAGTTACGACGGGGACAGTGTAGTTGCGGGTTAGTAACCTTAAGGACAAGCTACCTATTCAAACCAAATCAGTGAGTATTTACTCGTTCTCTTGTTCCTGTGAAGCAGGATAAGTTGGTAGTGCTACAAGGTGTGTATCACATAGATCGAAGGAACACCATCCGGCATAGTTCGGAATTGAATATCGAAGAGCTATCAACTCTGCCGTCCCTGTGCATGCATGCAAAACAAACAGTGGAACTAAAATGAGACACAGGCTTTTGGTAAGAATCAAAATGAGCCAACGGTATGCGTTCGCCAATGAAGACGCGATGCGGTAAGATCTGATCTAGCTGTACAAACTGAGTCACACAAACCGACCAAAGCGTTGCCATGTCAGTAAGTCTGAATATAGGGGTACTTCTGCAGAAGAGAGAAAACGACGTGGGACGTGGATGCACTGGAAATGGTACATTGTCACAAAATAATGGCGTCATGACAGAGAGCGTTGGAACAGAAAATGGACAAGTGGACAGGCACACGATTTATCCATACCAGGCGAGGAGGTTGACCAACATAGAAGTAGGCGATCGACGGGGGTGAGACTTGGGTGGTCGCAAACTCGTTCTACAACGTGTTATTGCAAGTCAGTAAAAATAATATGTAAATCTTGTGGATATGCGATAAACTATCCCTGATTTAGGGGCGGATCGTCAGCACAGCTATAGTCACTCACATCCATTAGTCAAATGTGTATTCAGGGGTGCCTGCTTCGTTAAAACATTCTGAAATACATCGCTTGTTGGTGTTTTGGTTTTGTTTATCACTTTCTTACCATTGGCTTCATATTTTAATTCCTCATAGAAGAAATGATTTGGTAAGTTTCCTAGTGAAACAAAGTCATTATGGAGTTTGGTAAATTAAACGTCCACGTTTAATGCGGAATGTCTTTGCATCTGCACTGCACATGATTGTGTTTAGTAAATTAATTCAGAGGACAGCGCATCAGCTAAGTACGAAGCTCCAGGGTATAGCTGCCCTGGGACATCGCATAATTGGTTTGCAAGTCATGCTGCGAAGCTTCCAACTGTAGTCATATTGCGACTCGTATGTAAACAGATAAAATGTGTTGTGTTTACGCTGGCAGTACGGATAACCGATATAGAAAATTCCCAAAAACATAAGGTGAAAGCCTCTGGGGGAAATTGTATGCAGCGCCTGGAAGACAGTATATACAGCCAAAACATGGGGTCAAAGTGAATATTTCATGAGAATAACCTAACTGAAAGTTCCTGACTATAGCAACTACTAGACGCGCAAAATCTCGCTTGCTGGCTGTTCAACTAGTGCGATTACTGAAAGGCCTCAAGGGAAGTCATTCTCGTTGCTCCACCTCAAGGTAAAACGATGTTATCGGCTTACTCTCATTGGCTGGCCAATCAGCTTCAGGCGGCGTGCGACCAATCTTCGGGGTGCTTTAAAGAGATCTGGCTTCGACAACTGCTAGACGGATTCCCATAGCACCTCACCCGCGAAAAGTGACGTACGACTTCCTCCTGGGGTCCATTTGCATTCCGACCACGGATCTCCGTATCCGATCAGTCTATCGTCATGGTTACCAGCTGCTTTCTTTTGTTGTCACCGAGCAAGGCTCATTAGGTGGCTCATGTGTTCCAGAGTGTATGTCGAAATTGTCCAGCAGAACATCCAGTTTTCAGCGATCGTTCACTGGTAGCTATCTGAATGCTGGTAGGCGGCAGTTGGTTTGCATGTCTGGTCCAAATCATAGAACCCAATCACACATTATACAGCACTTATCCAAGTCTGCAGTCGATCGAACCTGTTGCCTCCTGGGACGATTGTCTCTGACTAAGACATACTATCCTGGGTGAAATGACGTACTTGCGTCCTGTGTCACTAATTGAAGTAAGTTTCCATTCGCACGTTCCTCTCTTGCAGGGCGATACGATTCGGAAGCAGCAAGAAATTCGAAGTACGGAGTTTTGTACCCATCAGCACTTTTGCTGGGGACACCTGAGTTGGCACCTGGGGATCGGAAATTGATATGTAAAATATAAGGAAAATATCCAATACCCCTTGGATGTTTCCTTCCCCCTCATCATCAGCAGAGTCCGTTTAAGCGTATCAACAAAGCGCTCAGCTTGCCCATTGGATTGCGGGCGAACCGGCGACAAGCGTGGGTTCTGCGTACAGTATTAGGCAAACTGCGAACTGAGGGCCATTGTCAGTAACTAGATTCTATGGTATTCCATGGTGGGCGAAAAGTCTTCTCAGTATGCTAATGGTTGCACCACTTATTATGCATTCCATGCAGAACACTTACGGCCACTTACTGAAGGAATCAACAACGATGATATACTGTTGTCCATGCCCAGAACCAAAGAAATCCGCGTGTATTCGCTACCGCGGTTTCGTTAACAACGACCAAGAATACAGTTCCGCTTTCTGGAGCGTCCTGCTGACAAGCGCATATATCGGACACGATTTCTCTAGATGTTCCAGCTTTGAGTCGATACTCGGCCAGTATATGTAACTCCGCGCAATCCTTTTCATTGTATTGATGCCAGGGTATTAACGATGGAACTGTCGTAGAATTCTTTGGCGAAGCTCATTGGGAATAACAACTCTTTCAGCCAAAAGTACACCCAATGACAATGGATACTTCGTCCTAGCTCCGGAACAAACTTTGTAATTCCCAATCTAGGTTGTCCTTCGACCACTGTGTAGTATGAAATCTGACTGCTTAGTGTAGGACAGGATCCCGCATGCATGCATCACGTACCATATCAAAAGTTACCGGAACCTCTGAACGTGTCCAACAATGCCTGATTCAGACCGGACTCCAGATAGATCGCTACAAAGATAGATTTCTCTTGCTGGCGCTGCTGGCTTTCCAGTGGCGCGGAAAGTAAATCAGCTTGACCTATTTCCTTTGTAGAAATGTGCTTCACCGTAAAGTCGTAGCCGGGTAATGCAGTGGCCCAACGCTGCAAAATGTTTTGCCGCATAGACAAGGATGTCCAACTTTGACCCGAAAAAATGCCAACAGTAAGAAGTGCAAACTTCCTCCCAAGATTCTCAACCATTTTCTCCGCCCACTCTCACTCGGCACTTAGCCCAATTTGATGGTTGCTTCCTACGCCTGCTAAACCAAATCTCCCCACTAAGCCAGTCCATCGGCCTTCCGAACAGCAAGTGATGGCCTACCGAAAAGTGCAGAAGATGGAACACAGAAAGGCGCACAAACTCACAGACCGAACCAAAAGTTAACGTGGAACAAGAGGCATCGCATTAATCTCCATCAGGCAGAATCGCTATGAGAAGGGTAATGCAACGCTCGGCGAGACATACATGGTAAAGCAAGGTAGGCCGAGTGACGCGACGGTGACCATCATGCACACAACCGCAGCGCCAAGCGCGTACGGTGTCCGTTATGCAACGCTGAATGAAAGCCGAATAACAACAGTTATTAGAAGAAGCTGAGTGTGGAACTACTCATGAGCGGATGGGCAAAAATAATACACACAATACTCGAACCCAAGTACTCTCCATATCATATATTCGGGTGGAAGAGAATAGTGCGACGGAAGCCAGTCACTGTCCCAGTGTAGGCACAGACCATGAATTCTATCGGTCAAACAGAGATGACACTTTCACAAGAGAATAGTGCACGCGGTACAAATGATTAAAACATCCATTCGATTGAAAAAATGCACTGCGCGATGTAAGCTTGATATGGGATGTGAGAACGGTAAAACCATGAGCACCGACAAGCAGCAGAGATTATGTTACCGAAGCTAACCAATAACCCTAACGATGCAACAACGCGAGTAAGAAAATCAAGGGTATATAAAGCCTCTTAGTCCATACTCACCCAAATGAACAGATCTGAAGTGTCTTTGTAAGGTGGTTGTCCAAGAAAACGATTTGCCACAGCGAGCGCACGGATAGGGGCGTTGATCTGAATTGTAAAACAGGAAGTGAGTAATTACTAACGAAGCACAAGATGAAAACAGATGTGAAACAGTAAACGATGTTTTAGAACAGACACATACATGTTGTAATGTACCAAGGCATTAATGACTGATATGATAGAGGAAGAGGAACGATTAAGCACAAAGTAGATGCCGACAATAATCACCTGAAATCGATGTTATACGCGAAGCAAAGGGCGTGGAAATTCTGTGTTATCCCCGCGCATCTAGATGCATTCATTAAGCAGAAAGAAGGCTCAGTGAAAATATACCGACCATCAGTGCCCGCATCCCACATATGCAACGGCATTTCCAAAATGCTACATCCGCCTCGTCATCTGATATAATTAGAAAGTCACATGCGTTCAGTTCGAAATGATATCAGCATAAATCACTTGATAATCACTGAACGAACTACACAAAGTGCTTCCGGTCAAGTCAGCAATTAATCGTAGATCAATGCAGCAAATCAACTGACTGCCTAACTAACCATCGCCTGGATTAGGAAAAAACGTTTGCAGCTAAAGTACTAAGTTCGAAGAACCAGTCGCTACTATCAGGTGGCGGTTTGCATTTTTGAACATAATATGTCCCGACTCCTCATTGACAACTACAAGACCGCTATGCTTCGTATACCGTGCACGGTGAAGATATCACCTCAGATGCCTATTGCAGTCGGTCAGTCCATGCGTTGATGGTAATTCCTCATTAGAACAAGGATTATAATTTGTCCACAACATCAACTGACATCCAAGGTGCAATTCCTTTGGTATGGAAACATTGATACTGAGGGCAAGTTTAGTATAATTACTCGATTCGAATTGCGATGTTTCACGCTAGACCACGGATCTCTTGAAATTAGATTTTCCTACTGCCAATTGTGGAAGTCGCTAGAATAGTTGGGTAGTAATGTTTTAGTAATAGCAATCGGTAGTCTCAAGTTCGGTAATCAAGGTAAAGCTCAGTGTTCGTTTACGAAACATGGGTCAATTCATATCCATTTAGTACAGCTATTCAGTTGGCACCTAAACACACGGCCAGGACGCAACAACAATAATAATAATAATAATAACAATAATGATGATAATAACCAACTCCGCGTTCGTAAAAGACTGTTCCCGAAAGCATACATTTGAGTTGATGCATTATGACACACCGGATCCTACACCTGGGCCACTTACCTATGTTGGGGCCGCTGCTGCATGTTCGCGCAAAAAGCAGCACATGCGGACACCAGTACAAACTAGTGGCACCGGATTTGAAGCGTATCGCTCACGCACTTCGAGCGTCGACTGGTGAAATATTGGAACAGAGACGCTAGTCGAGGTGAAATCGGTGCCGGAATTTAAGAGATTGCTTGACGCCGACTTTGGGGACTACAGGTATAGGGAACCTATGGCACTCGGATAAGAAGTAGTGCGGCTGTGACATGCTGCCACCGCGTAGTAATCAACAACGTGATTCGGCGCATGTGTCCGATTCACCTACGATGGAGCAACACAGATTCGTACTTTCTCGCTCCCATTTTCAGTATTCAGTTTGCTGTGAACCTAGTGGGACGGCTGCAAATCAATGGCTCCAAGTCTTGAAGGTAAGCGAAGTAATCCTGCGGATGTTCGCAAAAACAGTTGCAGTCCAAAACAGAAACGGACACAATCAAACAAAAGTACATTCCACAAAAACGCATCCTTCCGATGCTCAGTTCAGGATTAACCCCAACTACTTCATGAATGATGAGACAAAATTGTGACGTACAAACGGTTTCGAGAACCAACACATGAAGACGGGATATGACACAGCAGAAAATGGATATGCCATTAAGCTTTAAGTGCACTGATGGACATACAGATCTCGAAAGGATGATGATGATCAAACGACCATTCCACCAGACATGCAATGCACACAATACACGATCCTCATTCGATTTACGTCGTAGTAGGTGATTTGGAAGAATCGGACAGTGTGCGATGTGAGAATAACGAAACGATGAGCACTGACAAACAGAATGGTTCAAACCACCGAAACCCCGTGGCGTAATCCAGGGAAATAATAAAATCAAAAAAGTAGAGCAACCAGTTTCATACTCACCATAATGAACACGTTGGAGATGTGTTTGTAAGGTGTCCTTTCGAGCAAATTGTTTGTTACAATGCTCACATGTATATATGCGTTGTTCTGGATCGGGAAAAGGTATGTGTGGGTGAACCACACGGTTAAAAGTGGTGCAGTATGATGAACGTTCACAAGTTGTGGTATAAATGGTTTAAATTTGAGAATATACTATCTACAACGTCAAGTGCGAATGCTATAATTACCACATAAAGCAAGAGATAAAAATGAAAGTTGATGTGCACGACGTCTACTGGTAGCAAGCATCTGGTACCAGCATCAGGAGCTAGCTAATGCGCCTACATTATCCATTATTCACACAAAGTTTAAAGGAAATCCATTGGGACGATAAAACCAACGGATGAGAAGGGCGACCAGTGCAGTCGATTAGCGGGGAAACACACTGTTGGTGCATCTAACACACTAGGGCCAGTTCTGTTGTGATTCAATTAGCTGTTCTCTTCATTTCGCAGATTCATCTGGTTATTCCGATGTGTTTACACCATTTTGTTTCTGTACGATTCCGGTTGTGGAATGACCTCGTTCTCTGCAAACTGTAATCCAAGTCAACTCTTTAGTGCAAAATAGGTTCTAGAAGCGATTGCAAAAATAAACGTGAGTAGTCAAATAATACACGTATGGCGGATGACAAATTTATGCCAACGCGGAACCCGTCAAGGAAAAAAATCAGTTCAATTTAGTTGAACGACTACGAACCGGACACCGAAGTGTGGTGGATCCAGTTGCCACTGTTGCAACCCGGTACTGATAGAATGGACACATTGCGAGAATCCATGTATTTGACCAAGTTGGGCTACAAGCCTGAAGTTGGACAACCGTATTGTGGTGAATTGTAGATACTACTGCGCCGAGTATAAGTAGTGTGGTGGTGCAAGATGACAAACCAACAGCGAGCTTTGCCGTCTTCCCTAAAGTTGAAGATGACATCAGGATTACAGTTCCATGCGCACGAGGAGTGAACACAGAGGCAAGCACCAGTTGGGGAACACTCCATGGAGAGCACGCAGATGAGCGGACGCCTCCAAGGTATGGACGAACACACCTAGTGTAAGCCACTTTAGCAATAAACAATTACCGCCTGCCGCTTGGGTTCTAACAGTATGAGGTCAGCCCATGAAGCCGAATGCAAGCACTGCTCTGTCTATGACGGAGTGTTCAATACAGTGATCGATAGCGGTTGATCGATGACCACTGTGGTTGGGGTAGTTAGGGCTGGTCTAATTCTAATGGCTGCGTATGGTCGAGACTTTCACTCAAAAACTATCGCTCCAGTCTACATTAGTCCACGATGCTGAGAAGCCTTCAGTTGATGCAATAATCAACAGTGTCAGTGAGTTTGTTTTCAATCCCGCTTCAGGACTGATTTTCGATGCATGGTACAGACGTGACGAAGATATTTTCAAAACGGAGCTGGCTAATTTTGTGATGCGTCAAAAGTACGGCTACTACTACGTAAACTCGGAATTGTGGAGCACGACAGAGACAACAATTACATTTTTACAAAAGGTGCTAGAGTTCAGCTTTGATGAAACCATTTTCCGACTTACGGAGATGTTCGGCGATCAGGAATCGCTTTTCAATAATCAGTACAATTGCCTGAAACTGTGCAAGGGAGACAGCGACAGTCTCATTGCCCATGCAGCAACAGTGAAGCGCGAGTGCCAGAAATTCAAGCTGAAATCACTTACTGAAGACCAATTTGTGTGTCTGATAATGGTATGCAGCCTTCAATCTCCCAAGGATGCCGAGATCCGAACCAGAATACGGGTTGTTGGAGCGAGCCCCGGACGTCACACTGCAATCTGTCATGCAAGACCCTGAGAATCATCCATTTAAAACACGTTACAGCTATAGTCGAGGATATGAAAGCGCATTCCAGTGACTTCGCAGTTCAGCAGATTTCGAAGAACAAGTTTGCGGCCACTCACCACAAGAAGACCCCTCAAGGTAAGCCATTATTAGCATGATGGCAATGCGGCAACTAGCATTTTGCTAGACGGTGTCCATTCAACAAGCATATCTGCCGGAAATGTCGTAGACCTGGGCACAGAGAAACTCATTGCAGACCCAAGCCATTTTTCAGACCGGTTCATGATGCACGGAAGAAAACCTGTGGTGGTTTCGCGAGGAGAGTGAACGCCAATTTTACTGACGATCCGAGATCGTAGAAATTATATTAACATCAACATCAATGGAAGACAGGCGCGTTTGCAGATCGATACGGCCTCAGATATTACGATCATATCAGAAATACTGTGGAGAACCGTCGGGTTACCAGTAATCAAATCTATCAGTCAGCAGGCGACAAGTGCATCAGGTGCCGAGTTGCAATTGATTGGTCAAGCCGACTGTGAGTGTCGTTATGCCGACGTTACCGCATGGGGAGCGATTTTCGTCAAAAGCTACCAGAATTTGAAACTTCTGGGTCTGGATTGGATTGAGAGTTTCAACCTACCTGATGTTCCGATCAACCAGATTTGTGCAGGTGTCCAGATACACAAGATAACAGCTCCTAAAACTGTAGCTATCGAGCGCCTAAAAGAGAAGTATGCAGCAGTTTTTCGGGAAGGCCTCGGTAAGTGCACTAAAGTACAACCTTCACTATCCCTTAAGCCCGATGCTGTTCTAGTGTTTCGTACAAAACGCCCTGTACCTTACAAAGCAACATCAATGATTGACCAGGAGCTGGATCGCTTAGAGAACAGGGGTTATCCACCCGGTGAACTACTCGTCTTGGGTGGCACACATTGTGGTGGTCAAAAAGCCAAACCGTCAGATTCGAATATGCGCCGATTTCTCGACAGATCTAAATGCTGCATTGAACGTCCTTTACCGCTCCCAGATGATTTGTTCGCAAAATCGAATGGTGGTAAATGTCTCGCAAAGCTGGATCTTTCTGATGCATACCTGCAGATCGGAGTGCATGAAGCTTCACGAGAATTACTCACCATCAATACGCATCGAGACTTGTACCAGTCTCACAATTTCCCGTTTGGAGTCAAGTCTGCACCAGCCATATTCCAGCAGATCATGGACACAATGCTGACAGATGTCGATGGAGCAGCCGCGTACGTGGACGACATCATTGTTGTCGGAGGCAGTACTGATGACCTAGTCGAAAAGATGGATCGAGTTCATGGCCACGTTGAGGAATATGGATTCAGGCTCCGACCTGAGAAGTGTACTTTCTTCATGGACTCGATTACGTTTCTCGGCTTCATAATATACAGGAACGGCAGGCGTCCAGACCCAGAGAACATCGAGGCGATCAAGAAGATGCCGCCACCCGAAGATGTTGCAACGCTAAGGCCCTTCCGAGGACTCATAAGTGATTACAGTCCGTTCTTACCGCAAATGCATCGCTTGCGTGGTAAACTCAATAACCTGCAGACCAAGGATAAACATTGGAACTGGTCAGAACAATGCCAGAGCTCATTTGACGAGGTAAAAAGGCTACTATGTTCCGACTTGCCGCTAACACATTACGATCCAACTTTGGAGATTGTGGTGGCCGCAGACGCCTCGAACTATGGCATTGGTGCAGTCAGAGCCCAAAAGTTCGCAGATGGTTCAGAAAAGGCAATCGCACATGCAGCCCGGTCGCTGTCTGCCGCAGAGCGAAATTATGGCCAGAGAGAAAAAGAAGCCTTGGCGATAGTCTACGCTGTGAAGAAATTTCGCAAAATTTCGTATGGCTAGTTTAAACATTTTACTGACCATAGGTCGTTGTTGGCAGTTTTCGGATCAAAGTCAGGCATCCTTGTCTATACGGCAAACAGGTTGCAGCGGTGGGCTACTACAATATTCGGTTACGACTTTACGGTGAAGCACATTTATACAAAAGACATTGGTCGAATTAATGCACTTTCCCGGTTAGGGGAAAGCCAGCAACATCAGCAAGAGGAATCGATCATTGCAGTGATCTCTCTGGAGTTGGAAGCGAATGAGGTGTTGTTGGAAACGATCAGTGAATTCCGGTAACTTTTGAGATAGTACGTGATGCATGAATGCGGGATCCTGTCCTACAATAAGCGGTCAGATTTCATACTACACCGTCGTCGAAAGACAATCTAAATGGAGAACTGCAGAGCCTGTCCCGGGGAAAAGACGAAGTATCCATCCCCAATTGTTGTTTACTTTTAGCGGAAAGAGTTGTTATATATATATATATATATATATATATATATATATATATATATATATGGTTGGCGGCATCCGGTTTCCGATTTGCCTGTCACCGTGGCAAGCCACAAAACGCCTGCGCCTACAGAGGGACCATGGGTGGCTTGCGCTGCACCACCCACAGCTCCAACCACACACCCCATACCCAGTGTAAACCCGAAGGAATAAGACCGGGAGGCATGCGGATGGGAACCACGTTACATCAACGGAGCCGGCCCACACTCCTTCACAGGCAAACACAAGCACACTGTATTTGGGGAATCAAGCGCACACAAGGCGGTGGCTGGACCGTAGTCCGTTCCACACTGAGTGCATGGAACCACTCTTCGAGCCTAGCACGGCCACAAGGACCGTACACCCCGTCCCCCCCAGCAACGACCAACTGTCTCCTGGAGCCAGTATGGACGAGGTAGTGGGTAATAGACAGGTAGGCACCTTGTCAACATGCACATCAAGCGCAGCCACACCGGGGATAGCACGCAACAGCCAATCACTTGAAACGACAAAATGAAATAACATAAATCCAATAATGCATACAGATACGGTGGCATAACTCTTCGCTAAGTTAGCATATGAAGTAAGTTCGTTTGCAATGAATCCGTGATAAGGAAAAAATGTCCACAAGTTACTCAAAAATGCTACAAACGCAACAAAATTACCGAAGATAAGCGCAATTAGCGCAAGCGAGGTGGCCAGCTAATAGAAGACTATTCAGATAGGCAAAACTAACCAAATAAACTGGAATGAAATTTATGCAGCTTAAAGAGACCTAGTTTAAGTGTAAGTGTATAGTGTAAGTGTATATATATATATATATATATATATATATATAATATATATATATATATATATATATATATGGT